AGGGCTTCCTCAGCATCCTCACCCTCGTGGAGGGGTGCGTGTGGAAGGCGAAGGGCGACGACCGCGGCTACGATCGCGCCCTCGAGGCCTTCCTCGGCGATCGCGAGAAACCCACCGGGAAGCCGGCCTCGCCCCACCCCAACGGCCCGGCCCTTCCGTGGCCGCCTCGACAAGGGAAGGTGATGAAGCGCATCACGCAGCTCGCCCCCACCGCGACGACCCTCCGTATTCCGCTCGAGTATATTTACATCACCCCGTTTGAGATTTTGTCGTTTTTGTTCGACGAGATGCTCCCGCTGTTGCGGCATGTGGCCGACTTGGAGGCCACGGCGTTTCGCCACCACGTCGATCAGCTGCAGCTGTGGGAGGAGGGGATGCCGCCGGGGTTCGACGCCGCCGAGGAGGCCGCGTATGGAAAACCGGAAGGGGCGGGAAGGCCCCTGAGAAGTGCGGGCGGCGCCTCCGATCCTTTCTTCAGGGCCCCTGCAAACGTCGAGATCCGTCGTCTCCCCACGATTCTCCACCTTGGAGAGGGGGAAAGTGGGGGAAGGGGGGTGCTGCCCTCCCCCTCTCCGATGGAGCCGTTCACGTCGGAGATGGCGCACCTCCTGGAGGCGCTCACCCGTTGCCTGGAGCACCTCCCGCCGGAGGTGCTTCAACCCGACCTCGACGCCGACTGCGCGGCGACGTTTTTTGTGTTTCAAAACTGCCTCAAACATCTCACGACAGTGATGGAAATCCAACGCGGGGCCTTGACGTCGTGGGGGGCTTTTCCACTTAAGCTTCTCGCGCGATTTCTCGGCGCCGTTTCGGTGATCGGGCGGAATCCGCTGTATCTGGAGCGCGCGGCCGCGATGCTCTCCGGGGGAGGGGGGGGAAATGAATGTCCGGAGCTCCAGTGGACGAGTTTGATCGCCCAGGCTCTTGAATGCGTGGGGTTGGATGCCGGTTTATTGGGAACCCTCCACCCCCTCGCCTCCATCCCCCCTTCGCAACGGTTGTTTGGCGGGGCCGAAGAACGCTTGGAGGGGCCCGCAGGGGTCGAGCGGATCCCCCGCCACCCCCCTTTCCCTCAGCTCTCCCACCAGTACCTTCGGAAGTGCCAAAAACAATTCGTCACCAGCCTCTTCCTGCTGCTCCGTCAGATGATTTCAACACCGACGTTGAGGGAAACGATTCGTCCGCGGATGTCGTTGGAGCTCGCGTTGAGCTTCTTGTCGGCGCCAAAGCTCAGCCAGGCGATGCTGGGCAGCGTGTTATCGCTGATTTCCAGCCTCATCGACAGCCCCGTGGAGGCGATGAAGGTGTGGGGTTTTTTAGAGCAAAACCGGCTGTTGATGCCCCCTCAATTTAATCCCACCGGCCTGGAGGGGCGATCTCTTCCCGAAAGGGTCGAAGGGGGCGGGCACCCCACCTCCACCTCCGTAGCTTCTCCCGATCGCACCTTCCACCACCCCGGCAGCGTCTCCGCTTCCCTGAAACCGGAGGAATCCTTCTCGCTCTTAGGGCATTGCCAATACGAGTGCACCCAGGGCGTATACCCCATCACGATCGGCTTTCTCAATCTCGTGATTCGGCTTTTCCGATTCGGACGGCCCTCCGTGGAGCGGTTTTCCACCTACGCGAGCGTCGCTCACTTCATCGCGCAGGAGCTCTTCTGCGGGAACGCCACCCGGGTGTTCGCGGAGGAAAAGGAGCGTTATACGGTGCTCGCGCTCGCGGCCGCGGCGTTGCAACAGGCCTTTTGGGTTCGTTTCACCCTCCCCGCGGAAGAGAGTGGGGTGGGGGCGGTTCCTTCTTCTTCCCCGTCGATTCCCTTCGCGACGGTGATGTCAACCGCGCGCTCGCCGAACGACGTTACCGGGGAGGCGGTGAATTTCCTCCTCAAATCGAGCCTCCCCTCGCAAGGACTGCTCCGTCATCAGCGCGCCGCCGTCTGGCAGTGCGTGGAGCTGCTCACCACCGCCATTTTTTCCTATCGTCAGGAAAAACTCGAGCTCTTTCTTTTTGACAGCCGCACGACCGGGAATGTTTCCCTCGCCTATCATTTGCTCTTTCTTTGCGGCGCGAACGACCCGTTCGTCGTGCGAGCGACCCTCCAACTCCTGCAGCTCTTCCCGCGAAGTGTGATGAATCAGGCCTGTACGTATTGGTACGCCAACGCATCGAGCCTCGCAGGGGTGGTATCCATCCTCGCGGATTTGCTCAGCCCGCGAGGGGTGGCGCGGGTGGAAAGGTTGCAGACCCCACCGGAGCTTGTTTGGTTAGAAGAGGAAAATCTCCTCCCCTTGAGCGCGGCGCGCGAGGAGGCCGAAGGGGCCGCCCCCTTCCGCACCTCGCAGCAGCTCGTGATGGAAAATCGCTCCCTCTTGTTGGATCTTCTGATCGCGCAGCTCACGCCAACCATCGGACCCTCGCTGACGTCGTGGCTTTTCGGTTTGTTTACGGCATCCAGTGGGGTGGATGTGGAGGCCGCCCCTTCCGCCGAGGAGATGGAAGATCGCGTGTTTTACTCCCTCGTGGAAGGGGCCGTGAGCGGGGATTTAGAACAGACGCATCCCGCCGCCGCCGTGAAGTACGTCAAACTGCTCTTCCTGCTCCGCTCCAACCAGGTCTATGGGTCTGTGGTGATGCCGTATTTCATGCGGCTGGGTGGGCAGAAGCTTTTTTTGGATTTGCAGACCTTTTCCCCCAGTCGTTGTCCTCCCTTACTCCTTTGCAAGTACGCCTACGTTCTCAAACTGCTCGCCTTGGAGACGTGTGATCAGTACCGCCGTTCGCCGGAGCAGTTCGACACGCCGAGCGCCGTCATCTCCAACATTCCCGTGCAGGTGATGATGGCGTTGGTGCTTCCCAAACTTGGCGCGGCGGGATCGGATGTTAAAATCCCCCCCCGATCCCAGGAGGACGCCAAGGCCAACCCCACCACCGGCGATCTTATCATACGACATGGCGGCGACCCCACGGAGGATTGGGAAGCGGTGGATCGCGGCGGTTCCACCGATCTCGTGATCTGGCTGCTGCAGGTTCTGCATCAGCTCCCGGTGTTTCCCTCCCTGAGCCCGCTTTACAACAGCGAGCCCTTCCTCGCCCCGGCGGGCGACGGGGTCGTGCAGTACAACATCCCCTACCTCTATGAGGTCTTCCAGCACGCGCAGGCGGGGCGGCCCTCGGCGTCGCCGAGTATGGAATCCCTCCGCGCGCAGTTCCTCCCCTACGTCGAGGCGAACGCGTGCTTCACCGCCTACGCGGCGGCCGTGAGCTTCGTGGAAGGCCTCTGCGAACTCC